ACTGTGCGAGTGGTTCCTTGTTGTAAAGCGCTATAGAAAAATGTGACCATTTACATTGAACATGATTTTCTGAGTATAAAGGTCAACTAAATCATAAAATTTCAGAGTTTGAAGGTTTATAAATAACACAAGAAAAATGGATGTATTCCTATTTACATACAAGTTCATGTTAAAACATTGTGTTGAAATTGCATTTTTCTTAAAGTTTCAGGTTCATAATATTATAATATTTTGTTAAAGAAAGAGTTCATCAATTAAAAAGATTTCTGTAACTTTGAATATTTTTGGGGTTTATATGCCATGAGTTTTCTAATCTGGACACTTTGGGATCAAAGTAGGTTGGATACAGCCCCCGGAACAAAATGAGTTTGACACTCCTGACGTAGATAATGAAAAGATCATTCCAGTTTAGTTTAGCTGACAAAGACTCTATGGCAGGGGTGCCCAATATGTCGATCGCGATCTACCAGTCGATCTCCAAGGTCGTGTGGGTAGATCGCCGTGTCTCGTCTCGGACTTGCGTTTGGACTCAGTCTTGTCTCTCACTCGAGGTCTGACACTCAACAAGTGTGATCATATTTCATTCCGGCCGCTGCTGTTGGTAATAAACTTGTAGCGGGTGCAGGAGCGTGTGGGGCGTCTCAGTGCAGCCTGTGCGCTCATTTGAAACCCGCGGAGACTCTACGGCGCATCACAAACACACACGCTCCCTATGCACGACTCGTCTGTGACAGCGTGTGCCCTCGTGTACCAGCGTGCATCACAGGGCAGGTTCAACTTCCTAAACATCCTACCTGTCCATCTGCCTCACGTCAGCACGCCGCCCCTCGCCTTTTCACGCTCTCGCTCCTTCCTGCGTACAGCCAACACAAGCCCCTCCCACAGTGCGGCTGATTAGAAGAGCAAGACCAAACGTGAAGCAAAAACCAGTCTACATTTGTGTTCCAGTGTTGGCACAAAGCAGGTCTACAGCATAGAGCGGATCTACAGAACAGACCTACTGCCACATTTGGCTGAAGTTTGTCTAACAAAAGTGCACAAATGCATCTGTGTTTGTCACGATGTGTTTGGTTTGGTAAACCTGCAGAGGCTGGTAAATATCACTGCAAAACCAGAAAAGAATGTAACTCCAGTTTGGAACTTTAAAAAACAGGTTTAAAAATCTTCCTTCACTTTTTTCACAGTTTTGTGTAAAGTGCCAGAGGAAGTTCACTTAAAGAAGAGGTTCTCAAACTGTGGGGGAGGGTCCAAAAAAGGGGCACAGAGTGTTTCAGTGCAGTTTGTTTGGCTTTGTATTAGGTCGATCATTATGACTTGGTCATTTTGTAAGTAACTCACATGCTGAAAAAGTGTGAACACCTCTGGTCTATGGAGAATCAAAAACAATCCAAGGTAATGTGCATTTTGGATTTTCTACTAAACATCTGATCACTGAATAACTTTGCCTGCCATTTCTATACATTAATTTTTTTTAGATTAGCCCAGCGCTTGAGAAAGTTTATGACATCATTTCAATGTAACTTATGATATAATGTGAAAGTTGGATAATCACAAGATATGAAGCGAGGAGTTCCCACTCAGTGACATCATCTGTTTTTATCTGTGAGCTACAATAACAGATACAAGGTGTTTATATAAGATAGTGTGTTTTTAGGAGACAGACTTATCACGTTACTAAAATAAAACTGTTTGGACTTAAGCAGAAATATGTCAGACCAGGGAAAGGCAAAGTTAAAGCTAGTTTTAAAGGTGCACTACGTAACTTTTCTGGTCTCCATTGACATCTTTTTGCTTCGTCTCCCATGTTTCACAAAACTGTATTTTTATTCAGAGGGATACTGGTCTGGTCCACGAGTCCTGCACCGGGTCAGGTACTCACAAACAGCTGCTGAAACGGGCGGGTTTCAACGTTCTGCAATTTTACAGGCAACATGTCCAGAACACTGAAGCTCGTCTGCTGACAAACACTAAGAGACGAGAACACATCACATCTGTGCTGTGTGACCTGCACTGGCTCCTGTCTTCAGTGTTGGGGAGGAACAGATTACATGTACCGGAGTTACATAATCAGAGTACAAATTATGAGTAACTGTATTCAGTTACAGTTACTGTTTCAGTGAGTGGTAATTGGATTACAGTTACTTTGTTGAAATAAATGGATTACACAGCGGAATTTTCCTGTTTTCACATTTTGGGATATATCCCCCTTTTTAAAATTTATTTATTCCACTCATTGCCTGAACCAGGTCTAAACTAGATCTAAACCAGGTCTAAACCAGGTCTAAACTAGATCTAAACAGGACTAAACAAGGACTAAACCAGGTCTAAACCAGGTCTAAACTAGATCTAAACCAGGTCTAAACCAGGTCTAAAACAGGTCTAAAACAGGTCTAAAACAGGACTAAACCAGGACTAAAACCAGGTCTAAACTAGATCTAAACCAGGTCTAAACCAGGTCTAAACTAGATCTAAACCAGGTCTAAACCAGGTCTAAACCAGGTCTAAACTAGATCTAAACCAGGTCTAAACCAGGTCTAAACCAGGTCTAAAACAGGTCTAAAACAGGTCTAAAACAGGACTAAACCAGGTCTAAACTAAATCTAAACCAGGTCTAAACCAGGTCTAAACCAGGTCTAAAACAGGTCTAAAACAGGTCTAAAACAGGACTAAACCAGGTCTAAACTAGATCTAAACCAGGTCTAAACTAGATCTAAACCAGGTCTAAAACAGGACTAAACCAGGTCTAAACCAGGACTTAAACCAGGTCTAAACTAGATCTAAACCAGGTCTAAACCAGGACTTAAACCAGGTCTAAACTAGATCTAAACCAGGTCTAAACCAGGACTTAAACCAGGTCTAAACTAGATCTAAACCAGGTCTAAACCAGGACTTAAACCAGGTCTAAACTAGATCTAAACCAGGTCTAAACCAGGTCTAAACTAGATCTAAACCAGGTCTAAAACAGGTCTAAAACAGGACTAAACCAGAACTGAACAAGGACTAAACCAGGTCTAAACCAGGTCTAAAACAGGTCTAAAACAGGACTAAACCTGGTCTAAACAGGACTAAACCAGGTCTAAACCAGGACTTAAACCAGGTCTAAACTAGATCTAAACCAGGTCTAAACCAGGACTTAAAACAGGTCTAAACTAGATCTAAACCAGGTCTAAACCAGGTCTAAACCAGGTCTAAACTAGATCTAAACCAGGTCTAAAACAGGTCTAAAACAGGACTAAACCAGAACTGAACAAGGACTAAACCAGGTCTAAACCAGGTCTAAACCAGGTCTAAACCAGGATTAAAACAGGATTCAACAGGACTAAATCCTGCTGTGTGGACGTGTCTCCTCGTCTACTATCAATAATATTTTTAATTTGGTTAAATAAAGTCTGGCCTTTTTATTTTCTTTTAGCAGATAAAACATCTTATGTTCAGATTTCCTCGTCTTTGCTTCTCTACAGCAAATCAAGTAATCCAAAGTATTCAGATTACATTACTCACCTAAAGTAATTTAATGGATTCCGTTACAAACTACATTTTGGTGTATGTAATCTGTAATCTGTAGGGGAATACATTTTAAAAGTCACCTTCCCAACACTGTCTGTCTTATATCAGGTGCAATTTAAAATGTTATTAATTGTTTTCAGATGTTTGTTCTCTATGGGTCCAGTCTGTTTGAGGGAGTCACTGCAGCTCTGTCCTCCTCCCAGAGCCCTGAGATCAGCTCCTGTCAAGCCCAAAACTAGATTTGAGAAGAGAGGTGACAGAGGCTTTTCTGTGGCAGCGCCCGGACTGTGGACCAGCCTCCCTCTTCCATCCTCTCCGTCTGGAACACAGCTCTTCTCCTGCACCTCTTCTCCCTGACGTTTAGTACTAGTCCATGTATCCATGAGTTTTTATTGTCGTATTCACAGGTTGTCTGTATATATGCATATGTAACTGTTCTGTTTTTGTGTTTTGTGCTTCTTTTGTTTTCTGTTTTTTATGTGAAGCACTTTGGTCAGCTGAAGTTGTTTAAATGTGCTATAGAAATAAACGAATTGAATTGAATCTTTTAAATCACTTCTTAAAACCCATTTTTATCGGTCGTTCTTCCTTTAACTGGTTTAAGCTGGATTTTATTCCTTACCTATTTTTATTATATTTATTTTTATTTATTTATGATTATTTTCTATTTATTTTATTTATTTATTTATTTATTTATTTATTTCATAACGCATAAAAAGACATCGACAGTGTCACATCAGACACACAAGAAATGAATGAAAAGGAGCAGAAGTTATATCCCCCCCTTTCCTTTTTCAAGACAAAACATCAACACTGATGATCACTAAACATTCCAAATCAGTTCAGGCACAATTACTGATCAATTGCAAACAGTAATCTTCACTATTTTGCACAAAAACGTAGTTTTCTTTTTCATACATACACATTGCATTCGATTTGATGTGTTTTTTAAATGTCATCATTGTACTTGATTCTTTTGTTTCTTTGTCAAGACTCTTCCATAAGTGAACTAATTATAATTAAGCATCATTCTGTTTTTATGCTTTCTGTGTGTTGTTTTGATGCTTTGTACAGCACTTTGTAAACCTTGTTTAGGAAAGTGTTTTATAAATAAAGATGTATCATTTATTTATTACTGGTCAGACATCATTTTCAATCAAATTTATTTTCTCTCAAATCTGAGGTGATTCTGCACAAAGCTCTTCCCTCTGCACACTTTCACAAACAAATCTGTATTAACACTGAAACAGGCTGAACTCTGTCAGTCACTGTTGTTTGTTTTGGTTCATTTGTGACGTGATTGGTCTGTCTGCCAGCTTAATAAAAGTGAAAAAATGTCTAGCACACTCAGATGTCCGAGAATCCTGTCTGCCAGCTTCACCTTAGAGCAGGAGTTCAAAAAACACACAAATATCCAAATCAATCCATTTTGTTTTACTTGTAATAGTTTGTGTAACTGCCACATGACTTTGTGTTTACTGTGTTGCACTCACAAGGCCGCTGCAGGTGCTGATGGCTGCTCTCCCTCTCACCGCGTCCTCCTCCCACACCTCTCCCAGGTAGTGACAGCGCGAGGCCGAGGGGGGCTGAAGTTTGGCCCCGCTCAGGCCCCCGTACCTCCTCTCGCTCAGGAACCCCGGGGCCAGCAGGTGAGGGTTCAGGGTCAGGTTAAAGCGCAGGGTGTGTCCGCCGTGTCGCACTTGATAGAAGACACTGTCCAGGTCCCATCTGTCCCACGGGTCCACTCTGTCTTTTATGTCCCCCCTGTCCCCTGTGTCCACTGGAGCCGCTCGTCGGTGCACCCTGGGAGCGTGGTGAGACAGGAAGTGGGACAGGAAGTGACCTTTGGCGTCCACTCGGCTGGGGTAGACCACTTCATAGTGAGGGGGGGCGTGCTGGGGCTGTGTGGCTGGAGGAGAGGGTGGGAAAGAGACAGACAGACAGTTAGATGTGGGAAAGCGGCACTGGCACACACGAGGAAATATCATATAGAAAGGCAATAAACAACAGCTGCTAAGAAGATAACACCGAAGACCAGTCAGAGGAATGTTACTTCAAGACGACATCTGCCAACTACATTATATATTAAACATGGCACTACGCTCAGTTCGCCTGCGATCCAGAACACACACTTCTCCAACATTTTTCTGGAGATGTAAGTCTGGCCACTGGAGCCTCTGTGTTGCATTCAGACAGGTGTGATTGACAGGTGGATTAGTGATCATGGACTCATGGTTTGTCTGTCTTTAAACAAGAACGGCTGCTAACGAGGAAAAAAATAAAAAACACATCACAGATTTCGGCAGAGTCAGTGAGCAAAGCACTAAACCGTAAATCTGATGTGAGACAAGATTAATTTTGTTCAAATGGACAAGATGGGTCTGGTCAAGCAGTAACGGAGGGAAACAGGGTCAGATATTTTACATTCAAATGTCTCTTATTCAGAAACTAGAGGGACTATTGAAATAAGTAAAGTATCAGAATGTAGGAAAGAGTTACACTCCAACAGGGTCAAGTTAAACCTGTGATATTCTTTCAAGTTGTTGACAAAAAATTTAAAAACTCATGTTGGTAACGGAGGGAATGAAATATGCAGCACTTTTTTGGGCAATAAATCCAAACAGTGATAACTCTTGGTTCTCACTTCCATATCCTTAACAAACTGGTTTGAATATTTGCTTCATATAGTTTTCTACCATATGGTACAAGATTAGGTTGAAAAACCTCTTACTTTTTGAGTAATGAGATTTTTTATTAAGAAAGATCATGGTAACGGAGGGAAAAGTAACAGAGGGAAAATTGTGCAAACAAGTGGAAGGTGCAGGATTTTACATCATTTGTCAACTTTTTTCTTCTGAATACTTTAATATTACTACAAAATGAAAGGAAACTATTTCTATAAAATATGTCAGTCCTTCCAAGCAAATTTTTATCATTTTAAATACATTTAAAATGATAAAAACGCAAAAACGGTATGTTTCAAAAGACTAGAAAAGACCGGTAGTCCGAGCTTCATGATGCATGTAAATTAACATGGGGCCACTATGATACACTAGTACAGCAGTATCATAGCTGTACCGCAACTGCCACTACCACACATGCCGTAACCACACTTTGGATTGGGACGGGGTTCGGGTCATTGGATCAGAAAACAACAAATTCCAACACTGGATCAGGGAGGACAGAGAAATCAGGAAACGAGGCACGGACAGCATTAACCGAGATGACGGAGCGTTCCTCCTTTCACACACCTGGGACACCCTCCTCCAGAGAACACCGAGCAACGGGAGGCGTGGTCAGTCTGAGTGACCTGCAGGTCCATCAGGCTGACCACGCCTATAGGAAGTAACAACAGCTGATATACGACACATCACCACCAACACCGGTGACAGTTCTGAAGATGACTTGCGGCGGCAGCTGAAACATGTCAACAAGGTAAATACACTTTACTGCATTGTCATTAAAAAGAACCCAAGAAGTTAATGCCACTGCTGCAATTATCACTCACTACAGTTAGTCTGATGTCAAATTCCTAACAACTGTTTTTAGTACCGTATTTTCCGCACTATAGGGCACACTTAAAAGCTTTTAATTTCATCCAAAAACAACTGCGCACTTTATAATCCAGAGTGTCTTATATATGAATTTATTGGGGTGTCTTAGTACGACTTTAGTAAAATACAAAGCCGCTCCACTTGCAGCATCAGGAGTAAAACATACTGTAATTCCTTTTAATATCAAAATGCACCTGTCAAGAGACACGCTCACAATGGCCACTTTAAACTCAAGGCTGTTATAAAGTGAAAGTGTGAGCTGCGTGGGAGCAGTGGATGAGAGAAGGAGAACACACATTCACCAAGACAGAGAGACAGCGCCGAGCCACTTACGCCACGATCTGCCAACGGGTCATGGACGCCTGGGCTAAGGATCAGTATCAACTGTGGTCCGAGCTTTCACCAAGACCAGAATCATCACTGAACTGAACTCCAGGGAACAGTAACCACACTGACTCAGATAATGACGAGAGGGATGTGGGCGTGATGGACGCCGGAATCACCCAACTGTTTCAACTATTATGACTTATTGTGAATACTCTAACAATTTAGCATCTCAGACAGTATTTTTTTTTACGTGTTACAATGGAACAAAGTTGAGAGTTACTGTGAAAGCGTTAAATAAAGTTTGACTGACTTATCGAATTGTTGTGTTTCGTTAAATGTGCCTTATAGTCCGGTGCAGTTTATATGTGAAAAAAGTTTGACAATAGACCATTCAATGACAGTGCACCTTATAATCCAGAGCCCCTATAGTGCACATAATACAGTACAATTCCAACAACTACTATTATTACTTTTAGTTGGCTCAAACACCACATCAAAATTTTGACTAAACACAGAAGTAAACCTGGAGTAGAGCAGGTCAGAGCAGAACACTGAGCACACGCACTGACACACACTGACATTAAAAGTTGTGAAAAGGTCTTAAAGACTATAATGAAAGTCATTATCTCGTCAGCTCTGGCTTCTGTGTGCGTCAGAAAGAAGAAATGATGAAGGAAATATGCATTGGCTATAAGCTTCACATTCTTCGAGAGTGGATCAAAATGACAAATTAGCTGTCTGTATGAATTATCTGATAACCCTGAGCACCACTATGAATGTGATGTGTGAGGACGTATGATTAATGGCAGCAGTGTGGTGTTTTTCACTCTGCTTTAAACATATGCTGTTATCGGTTCTTCCAACGGCCAATGCAATTCATATGTGACAAGAATAGTATAATACAAACCAATATTTATAGCGACGCTCTATGGCAATGTTGCATGTGATGGGGATGAGCAGGAGCAATATGACATGTCTTGTTCGATTGATAAAAATCTCATTTCAAAAGCACCCAAGGCTACAGTGAAGAAAATGAATGCCAGTGCGCTCTATAGTCTGTATACGACAAAGGAGAAATTCAATTTGTCAACTGGACAAACATTTATTTTGGTCAAAAACGCTCATCCAATCTGCTTCTTCAGTTCTGGTCCTTGGACGAGCTGAGAAACGTTTTCAGCAAATTTAATTTCTCCATTGCTGTGGATTCTATTTAAACTTAGACTTACAATATAATGTAATAAAAAAGTAACAATATAAAAAAAAATAAATGGCAATAATAATAAATGTCCGCTTATTCAGCCTTGAGTTGCTTCACGAAAAAATATTGTCCTTGTGTCTGCTCTAGTAGCACCAGTGTTGGGGAGTAACAGATTACATGTACCAGAGTTACGTAATCAGAGGTCAATTTATGAGTAACTGTATTCAGTTACAGTTACTGTTTCAGTGAGTGGTAACTGGATTACAGTTACTTTGTTGAAATAAATGGATTACAGGGTGGTATTTTCCTGTTTTCACATTTTGGGATAAACCAGGACTAAAACCAGATCTAAACCAGGACTAAACTAGGACTAAACCAGGTCTAAACCGGGACTAAAACGAGGAGTAATCCAGGACTAAACCAGGACTAAACTAAGACTAAACCAGGACTACAGAAGATCTAAATCCAGGACTAAACCAGGACTAAACCAGGACTAAACTAGGTCTAAACAATATGACACCTAACAGTAGGTGGACAGACTTTAAAGCAGCAGTGATCTCATATAAAAATCATTTCTCTATCAATAATATTTTTAATCTGGTTAAGACTGGAATTGTCTTTTAGCAGATAAAACATCTCATGTTAACAGCTTCTAGTCGTTGTTACAGTAAACAATTACCTCTTCATGGAAACTTGGGCTCAACAGGGAATTTGAAGAGAACAAACAATAATTTTCAGGATGTGGTTGTTACATTAATTTCATTAAAAAAAAAAAAAAAAAAAGCATCACAATATCAAGTAATCCAAAGTATTCAGATTATGTTACTCACTTTAAGTAATTTAATGGATTATGTTACAAACTACATTTTGGGCTGTGTAATCTGTAATTTGTAGGGGAATACATTTTAAAAGTCACCTTCCCAACACTGAGTAGCACAGACTGTAGAAGAGTGTGACTTTACCCCATTCATTTGCAGTTTAATGAAGCTCAGCGAGGCCAGCAGTTATAGTGGGTAATCTGTGACCTGGGATCATGTTTGGAAATCTGAGCGCAAAAGCAATGAGCCAATAAGGAGCGAGACTGCTGAAGGTACACGCGCCCTTGAGTCCGCACAAGCTTAGTGACGCTGCTGTCAATCAACCTGCAAATAATGAAATAACTGGCCCAGGATCATGTAGAACGAGTTAATAAGAATGTTTAAGACCAAAATGACGAGTCCACAGCAGCAGTTACAGAGAGAGGGGACAGTATTTTTCTCGATATAGCTCAAAGGAACCACTTCATGTCCTGTACTCACTTCTTGGACTGATACAGCTAGTGCATTCACTTTGTCCATTCATATTGTGTACTGAGATAAAGGGATTGTTCTACAAAGGAAGGGTAATGGTTAAACTCCCACTTGAGCAACTTTGCACCATCATTGTGTCACTTCCGTCCTTAACGGTTTGACTGTGTAGTGTTGTGAGTGTTTCTAATTGGTTAGTGTTAAAGAGCTGCACATTGTGGTAACAACAGAAGACTGAGCTGGCAATAGGAATTTCAAATATTTTTATGCGGTTGCCTTCATGGGTCTAATTTGCTTAGTGTGTTTGGGTTGTGGGATGACTCCATAACTGCGGTAGGTAGGGTTGCTGAGAGGTCTGCAGAACCCCCTGCTGGTGGGTCAGGGCACTACAAAAAAGCCCGTTGGTGGCTGGATGTACCAAAACTAAGGCCGTGTCTCAATTCTCTTTCCACACGTCCTTCTCCTTGATTCCTCTCCTCGGTCCATTTTTCAGCTGTCAATCAAATGTGTCATATTAAAGGGCCCGTTATTCAGTACGCTGCAA